AAGAAGCTGCAGCGGCCCCTCCGGGAGCTGAGGGGCCGCACATCTCAAGACCTGGGTCTTCAGGAAGAGTCCTCCCTGCTGGTGCTGGCGTGGCAGGGTCCAGAGTCAGCAGGCTTCTTCCCCTCGCTGGTGTGAGCCCCCGGTGGGGCTGTCTGCCGCGGGGCCGGCTGCGAGGGCTGGGCTCTCTCCTGCAGCCCTGCCTGCAGGCCACCCAGAGGGCCTGCACCCCACTCCCGAGCACCCGAGTGCGGGGCCCAGACCAGCTCATCCACCGAGAGCGTCTGCTTCCTGCCATTTCCTCTCCTGCATGCTCTGCCTTTTCTCCTTTCCATGTCCTGTCACTTCATAGGGGTGTCCAGACGGCAAAAATGGGAGGCACATATGTTCTGTTCTTTTAACTGGGAGCCCACAACAAGCGTTTGCTAAGTTTCTACAGAGAGTCCCTGTAGGAATCTCCGCACCAGTGTGTGGGGCTCAGATCCAGAGCCCAGACCTCAGGGCCCAGTGCTCAGGGCCCAGCACTCAGAGTCCAGCACTCGGGGTCCAGCACTTGGGGGCCCAGCACTCCAGGTCCAGTGTTCGGGGCTTGGGGTCAAGAACTCCGGGTCTAGCACTCAGGGTCCGGGGCTCAGGGTCTGGCACTAGGGGCCCAGTCCTCGGGGCCCAACGTTTGGGGTCCGGGGCTCTGGGTACAGCGCTCCAGGTCCAGTGCTCGGGGCTCGGGGTCCAGCACTCTGGGTCGAGTGCTCGGGGTCTGGGGCTCAGGGTCTGGCGCTCCGGGCACAGCGCTCAGGGTCCAGCACTTGGGGCCCAACGCGCTCGGGGCCCGGCACACAGGGCCACATGTGCCGCTCCTCCTGCATGTCTGCCCCAGGCACGGGCCTGGCACGAGGAACCTGAGTGGTGGCTGACTGGCAGAGCCACCCTCCCGGGCACTCAGAGGGGCTAGACCTGGCACACGCTAGGCCCTCGGGTGGTACATTTGGAATCCAAGAACGCAGAGACCTCCTGGTCACCTGGACAAGGCGAGCCATCCCCAGGACGGTGGAGAAGCGCAGTGGCCCCCAGCCTGCCCCACACTAGCTCACACATCCGGGGTCAGAGACGCTCGGCACTGCAGGAGATGCTCATCAGCAGAGCCCAATAGGAATAAATGAGAACATAAGCCACCTGAGTGCTTCTCGGTCATGTGAACCAGTCTGCGGTGAGCGCTGACCTCTGGGACTGGGACCGCTGGGCACACAGGTGCTCGGGGAGCCGCTGCTGTTCCGCCAGGCAGGGCCTGCTCTTGGGAAGTGTGGTTTGGGGGAAACAAGTTCCCAGGAAATCCAAGTTCCTGGACAGAACTAGACGGACACCCCCATGAACGCTCCTCACCCCCCACAACGGGGCCTTCACACAGTACGGAGTTCAGGTGTGGTGCGTGATGCTCCTCGGAAAGATGGGTTCCCATCCAGCTGGTCCACTCTGATTTGGGAGATGGGGCCGCAGCTCATGCCGGGCACCTTGCAGTACATACACGTTACAAAGTGTGGCAAAGCGACTACCCATCACGGCGTCCTGATCGCCACTGGCACATGCCGCTCGCGGCCGCAGCAGCTCACATCTGCGGAGACGAGAGGTATGGGGAGGGCAGGAGAGCGCTCTGCTCTCGGGGGGGACCCACACCACCCGCCATCAGTGGGCACAGCGGAGGACTGCAGAGCTCAGGGGAGACCGTCTCTGGGGGCGTCACGGGAGGGCACTGTTGCACCCTGGGGTGAAGCCTGCAGCATCCCCCGCGTCTCCTTTCCTGGTTCAGACCAGCGTCCACAGGGCCAACAGGGCGTGGGAAGCAGAGCCTGGGAAGCCAGCACAGATGCTAAATCCTCCCCCAAGCCCCCCAGGATGGTGGGCTCCCCACGATTCACTGTGACCTGCAGGAGTCACCACGTCCAGCTAGTGAGCCTGTGCAGACGTGTGAGCTTCACTAAATGGGACTCCCCCTCAGGACATGGGATTCTCTGATATTTTTACTTAATTTCCTCCTCCCTCTCTCAAATGCAGATGATGATCCAGTAAATTAATTTCATGACCCACTAATGGGGTGAAGACTTGTCCTCTGAAGAGTAGCGCTCTCAGAAATGCAAACATCAGCGCATTCCTGGGATCTCTTCACAGGCGACCACGTAATTTATCGCACGTTCTTATGTCGGCCTTGAGCGAGGGGCCGGGGGGTGCCCATCGGGCACAGTGCCTGCCGTGGGTGGTTGGTGGGCGCAGAGACGTGAGCAGCGTGGCCCTCACAGAGGAGTGGGGCGTGACACGGTCGGCGGGGGGTGCCACTGAGACACGGCTGTGGCCCCTGCGGTGGTGTGGGCAGTCACATGGCTAAACAATCACAAGGGCTCTCAAAGCCCATCTCATGGAAAACCTCCTTGTGGTGAAATGGGAAATCGCGGGGCTAGCCAGCATCTGTAACGGAATCGAGATGCCAACTCGAAAATGGGAATATACACTCCAGTTACACGGTGTTGGGGTCAAGAGCTCGAATGACCTTTGAAGAAAGCTTTGCAAACAGGTCACCGCACACCAGGATTGCTGTCAGAGCCAGAGATGTGTCTGCAGACACCTGGGGAGACCCCGGGCCGCCAGCATCATCACACAGCCCCTCCACGGGATGCACCAGCCCAATCTTCAGCGCACACGCCCTCCACACTGCAAAGGGCACCGTGCCCTAGGTGTGCACCCCTATGGGGGGCGAGGAGCCTCGAGAGTGGGCACTTCTCCTGGACTTGCCCCGAGCCTATAGCAGGTGTCCTTCCCACACCTGGACCAGCAGGTGCATCTGCCCGAGCACCAGCTGTGGCATGCTGGCTGCCCCCCAGGGCAGGCTCCCCTGAGAATGGGCAGACGGGAGAATCGATCTTCAGAGCTCAAAGATCCGTGGGCTCGTGCAAAGCCAGACCCAACGTTTGAGGGGGGAAGACCCAGCAGACTGACAGGCTGTCTCCGTGGCCTACTACCAGCTGTGGTTTTCACAGCGGTCAGACCAAGGCGATGGTCGCAAGCTCCTGGGCCCGTGGGGCCACAGGACTGGCCGCAGCAAGGGGGATGCATCAAGGAACAGAGCCTGCCTACAGATGCTGGGCCTGCTAGAGGGCCTGCAGGGCAGGGAATTCCGAGCACGGGAGTGGGGAAGGGCTTGGGAGCCTCAGTTCACCTGTGTGACCATGAGGGTTGCTGCTGGGCCACTTCCTACAGCCTGCCTACCCCCAGCACCGTGCTCGGGGCCTGGAGTGCAGGCCGGACCCATAGCCACGTCCCAGGGCCACCGCTGTGGGTGGGCAGCCTGGAACGTCCCCCAAGCCTCCCCTCCTCCAGGGGTTCACTCCAAAGACTCCATCACCTGGCATGTCCTGCCCACAGGGCTGCCGTGGGCCCTGCAGGGAACCCACACACTGATCCACAGGCCCCAGGGATGTGGGATGGCAACCCTGGCTGTGTAGGATCTGCTTGTCCCCAGGTCTCTGCCTTTTGGGACCAGCACACAGACGGGGACCCCGGAAAGATCAGCTGCCTCCTGGATGCCGCTGGAGGGGGCAGCCTCACATCAGAAGCCGCCCAGGCTCCCTCAGAGCCGCCAGGCGGCTGACAGGTCATGAGCTGGCAATCCCCGCACACGTCACAGGTGCGAGCACAGGATCGCCTGCTTCTGTGCTGGCCACGGCTTGGGCAGCTGGCATGCTGGGGAAGGCCCCCTCTGGCCGCCCTTGTCTCTCGGCTGACAGCCGTGCTCGGCAGGTGCCCCTGGGTCCTGCCCACCTGCCGTCAATGCAGAACCACCTGATTGCCACAAACAGACAGCCCGTCCTCAGAATGTGCCCCCGAGGGGCCCGAACTGTGCTCTCCTCAGCAGCTGCGCGAGCTAGGCCCCCTGGACACGTGGCTGGACGGCCCGCCGGGGCTGCCTGCAGAGGCCGGCATGTGGTGAGGGAGGAAGCGCGCCGGATTTCCTCTGCTCCAACTCCGAGGGGCTACAGCCTCCACCTTTCTGAGCAACCCTGCGAGGAGACTCGGATGCCAGCCTGGCTTTCCGGATCCTTCCCTGGGGGCCCCAGACCTCCCTGACTGGACATTCCCAAGTCACGGAGGCAGGAATCAGGGCCAAGAGATCAAACCCCACTTCAGGTCTCGGTTTCTATGTGGAGCTCATGACGACGAGCCGGGCTTGGGGTGATGATCAGCCTGGGGGAGGAGAGGCCACCGCCGTGTGGGCCGAGGTCTGCGGAGTCCCAGCGCCCAAGCCAGGGGACACAGGCCCCAGCTCCCGTGGCTCACATCATCGAGCGTGTGCCTTGAGGAACTTACCTTTGGAAAAGGGACCTCAGAGAGCGGCCCCAGGACCCCTTTCCGGCCCTCCCCTCCCAACCTGTGGGTCAGCAGCCACGGGGACCCGCGGGTCCCGGCTCCTGGAACAGAGCATACAGGGTGTGCCCCTCCGCGGGATCTGGGAGGGACCAGGGCGCCCTCGGGGGTTTTCAGGGTCTCCGCGCAGAATGGCCACCATGTGGTGCCCAGGGTAGGAGCCGACCTTGAGGACCACGCCCCTCCCCAATCCTTGCTCTGGAGAGGATTCACCTGCCGTGAGGGGGTCCTAACCCGTCCTCCTGCCTGGAGTTGTAAGCACACCCTCCACCCCAGAATCGAGACAGTGTTACCAACCACCCTGTGTGGGCGCTGAGCTACCTTCTGGGCGGACGCTTTCAGGGTGTTCTGCCTGGCCCTTGGGCCCACCTGTCGCAGGGACAGTCTGACGGAGCCCAGGGACAGATTGATCTGGCCCCAGAGGGTGAGGGGGTGCAGAGGGGAGGCCGCGAGGCTGGAGGCCTCTCCGCACCAAGAAGCCCACTGCCACTGTCCCCGTCACTGCCGACGTGGGGCCCCCCTCCCCAAGGGTACCCACTGCCCAGGGCTGCTCGCCTTCTCGGTGTGAGGAGTGAGGGGGGCTGTGTACGCACCGTGGTGGTCTTTATCCGCCCGCCGGGCTGTGTGCACGTCCAGCCTGACCGGTTGATCAGCAGGTCACAGCCTTCGCCCTCCAGACACGGGAGCATGTCACACCACTGCTTTGTCTTGATGATTCGAGCTGTGGGAGAGAAGAGAGCCGTTCAGCCGCTGCTCACGGGGGCCCTGGGTGGCACCAGCAGCCTCACTCCTACACGGCGGTGGGAAGGGCGGTGGGCAGCCTGGTGCCCTTCGGGGTGGCCGGGCCACTATTCCTCCCCGGTTCCCCATTTTGTGCTGCTCCCCAGGTCCAGCTTTGCCACCAGCCCCTCAGTAAGTGGTAGCAGGGGGTGTTGAGGATGGTTTCCTCCCTGACGGAAAAGCCTAGAAGCAGAGGCTATGTCCGGAAACAGAGGATGATTGTATTCACTTAACCCTCACTCAAGGACCACCGCAGAACAACGGGCTGTTCTCCAAATTAGGACCAAGTGCACGTCCTTCTAAATGCACGTACGACTGATTAGCTGCACGTTTATAAATCCGGGGCTGATACAAGGAGGAAGAGACTCCAGTTACAAAGTCTGGGTGCTCAGATCCGACGCCCACCACGGGCCAGACATTATTTCAGCTCAAAGCTAAGTCGTCAACATGCATGCTTCCAAACACGCATCCTCCCCAACTCCGGGCTGCTGCTGGAAAAGGCACAAAACCTGCGATTTCCCAAGAATGAAGATGTGGAGTCCGGGTCCAGGCCGTGCGAGGACAGATGCGTCTTTGGGCACCTGCCCCGCGCTCGCCATGCTGGACTGTCCCCTCAGGGGCGGCGGGAAAAGGCGAGCGGGCCAGGAGAGAGCTTGGCCAGCCACAGTGTGGGTCTCGGGGCCGTTCCAGGGGATACAGCAGTTCATTCCCCTGACACCAGCTCCTTTCCAGGCCGTGCCACAGACAGGACTATGCCTCCAAAGTCACATGGCGAAGCCCTAACCCCTGGTGTGGGGGTCCTCGGAGACAGGGTTTTATAGAAATCCTTCAGGTTAAGTCAAGTCCTGAGGGTGGGGTCCCGATCTGATAGGATCAGGGCCCTCGCGAGCAGAGACACCGAGCCGTGCGAGGCCTCCTCCAGCACCTGGGCCGGCTGGCCCGTCCTCTCAGCCTCCCGGCCCCCAGGGCGATGAGAAGGCCAACGTTTGCTGCGGAGGCCGCCCAGCCCGCGGTGTTCTGTCCCCGCAGCCTGGCAGACGGGGACGCGACGGAGACCCACCCGTGGCCGTGTTTCTCATTCTGCTGGGAAGTCGGTGTGGGAAACACGCCAGCCGAGCACCTGCACAGTTCCCCAGGCGAAGAGGGGACGCGCCAGGCTCTGCTCACCGGGGCACGGCCTCTGTCCCGGCGGGACCCCTGGGGCGGGAGGCTGGGTGCAGGCGGGAGCCCCTCTCTGGGCCGCCGGCACAGGAGCTCGGCGCCTTCCCCAACACATCCCCGGGGCCTCATTCCTACCCTGCTCCTACCCCTGCCGGAGCCCCGAGCAGCATCGTCTTCCCAGATGCACCGTTTTGTGACAGTAACAGATGCCCCGAAAGGCCTGCTGTGTGCCTGCAGGTGCACCCCTTACGCCCACAGAGAGGCTACGGGCATGGAGCACACACAGCCCAATCCCTGGAAACCCTGCCGGAGCGTCTGAGCCACGATCCTGACGAGTAAAGGGGGAGCTTCCCCGGGATCAGCCATGAGGAGTGGGGTGGAGCAGGCTAACGGGCGGATCGAAGAGCATCCGCAGCCACGCTCCCCAGCTGTGCCCCCCGAGCCCCACCCAGGGGCACACGGCCATCGTAGTGGGCCAGTGGTGCAGACCCTCAGCCCGCAGGGAGGCCCGGGGCCGCCCCAGTCCTTGCCTGAGGGTCCAAGAGCGGGAACACGGCTGTCTCAGGGACAGATGTGCCCTCCCGTGGCAAGAAGGCGATGAGGTTCTGCAGGCGGGGAGCCTGAGGTCGCACCGTCTGCGAGGCCCCGCACGCCGGGCCTGGGCCATCCTGAACGGGGCTGCACGTGTGGAGGCAGGTCCTGGCTTGTGCTGGGCGGCCTGGTCTGCAGGACATGCGGTGATGCGGGAAGGTGGCGGAGCCAGGCCTGGGTTCCCTCCCGCAGCACCGTGTGCTCACCCTGGTGCTCTGTCCCCCCGGGGAAGCACGGAGCTGGGGGCGGAGGAGAAGGTGTCGCTGGAAGGACCCGGCCCAGGCTCGGCCCGCCAACGCGCACGGACACACAGCCCTCACGGTCGGGCCACCTGCAGTCACGTGGACCGAGGGCGTGAGAGGGACAGACGCTGACCTTGGGACTCACCCATCTGCAGGCCTCACGGCAGCCTCCTGCCCCCGCCAGGCCCACGGCCGAGGCCCCTCATCCTGCGACACCACCCTCAGTTCCACTGGGCTCGCTCACCTCTCTCGAAGCGGTGTGGGGCTGCTGTCTCCACGCCTTCCTGACCGTCATGCACTCAGCTGCGAGCGGGGAGACGTGGGAGGGAGGGAGCACGTGGCCCCAAACCCTGGCCCCCAGCACGGTGTGACCATGAGCGAGCGTGGCCACAGGCCAGAAAGGCAGGACAGGGAATGGGTCCTCACGGCCTTCAGGGGAGGAGGGCCACAAGTCCCGCCCACACTGCTGCCACGCATCTGACCACACACATACACGCCTGCTCACCCAAACACGCGTGCACACATACACACATGGTGAAAAGTGTGAACACAGGCAAACATGAATACACAGACCCATGGGCATGCAAACAGCACACACGGACACGTACCCATCTGTCCGTTCACAAGTGCACACACACACACACGTACCCACCTTGTGTTCACAAGCACACACACGTGCGTGCACACACAAGCAGTCGCTGACTGTCCCCCTCCCCCATGCCGTGGGGCAGCCTGGGCGTGCCGGGTGCCAGGCTGGCCGAGGGCACTGCGGGGCCGCTGCTGAGCACACACGCCTTTTGTCTGCTGCTGGGCTTAGCTCACCCTGCCTGAGCCCACTTCCTGCTGGAGGCGGTCGGAGGCACAGCACTGGCCACCACATCCCAGGGACAAAGGGACCTTTCATGCCACACGTCACCACTTCCGCGACGCTCCAGCACTGGGGAGGGCAGTGCACGGGGCCGTGAGCGACAGTGGCTGACTGCTGGCCTCTGGGGACACTGGTGGCAGCCAGCCGTGTGCCACGGGAGGTGCCTTGGCCCGCGGCGCATCAGGGGTCACCACCACATTGCCCGTGCCTGTCCCTGGGCCCGGGGAGAGCAGACTTGTGCAGACGGGCGCTGGGGACTGAAATGGAGCCGCTGCACCGACCCCGGGCCTCTGACAGGGCGCCGGCCTGGCCTTGGGGTGGTGCCACTCCCCTCTCCCTCGGCGTGTCCCCACCTGCCCTGTGTCCCCAGAGAGGCCACCAGGCACCCAGCACTCTCGAATACGTCTTGCTCGTGAACAGGCTTGCGGCCACAGTGTGGGCCCCGTGCACCTGCTGCTGGCCAGGCAGGGGTGTGAGCTCACCGTGCCACCCGCACACTCTGCCCCGAAAGCTGAGGGCCTCAGGCTGAGGCTCCAGGCTGCCCTCCACGTGGACGTTTAGGTGTTTCTGGGACAGGAGCTCTGCCTCAGTCTCCCACTGCTTCAGCCCAGGCACGTGTCAACAACGTAACGGGAACCGTGGGCACCGTGCAGGCAGCCCGATCAGGACACTGACGGTGCTGGGCCGGCATTACGGGCACAGAGGACAGCGAGGCGATGGCTGGCCAGGGCTGGTCTCCCTGGTCTCGGGAGAGCGGCAAGTGGTCGCCGGTGCCGGGCATCAGGGAGAACAGCCGAGACGCGGGGAGCTGAGTCCCAGACACAGCATGTTAGACAGCCCCGGTCCCTTTGCTGGAAGGCCAATTTGCCAGAACAACATTCGGGCAGGCCGTGAATGTGAACGGGGCTGAAGACAGATCAGGGCAGCCCCAGAGTAACAGGGGCCTGATGGGGGCAGCACGGACACTTCCAAGAAAGGACAGGAGAGGGAACCGCCTTCGAGGGAAAGGACAGCCCTTCGGAGACAGAGCAGGGACGCGCTGATGCCCGCTCACACAGGGCGGCGGCGGGATCGGAGGGAGGGTCCTCCGGCCCACCAGCAACCCGGCCTCACCTGCCTCAGGACCCAGCCTGGGCACAGACACAAGTGTGCTGGGGAAGCACCATCTTCCTGTGAGAGATGCAGGGGGTGGTGTGGCACCTGGTCCACGTAGGGCCTAGGGCCGCACGCAGCGGGGACCGATGAACACAGCCAGGAAACTCTCCACCACCCCTGCCCCCAGCTGGACCCCGAGAAGGACCAGCTAAGGGGGCTCCCTGCCCAGAACAGGACCGGGTGGGGGGCACAGAGCCTTGGAGCTGGAGGGCTGGGGTCTGCGTCCGTCACTCCGAGCTGGATGCTCTCGTGACTGAAGGGTAATATTTCCACAGAGCCCCTGGTACTCTCCTGAAGCAGCTGGAAGCTTTCACCTGGGGCCAAGATGGGCGGCGAGTCCAGCTGCGGAGTCCCTGGCCCCATGCAGGGGTGCAGTCAGGGCCCCTGCTCTCTGCCCCTCACATAGTGGCTCGGGGGCACGATGCACACAGCCCTCCCGCCACACTCCCCGGGTCCCTCTCAGTGACCAGCTGCCTGAGACCAGGGCTGAGCCGCTGTCCCCGAGCACCAATCCCCAGGGAAGAGGCAGAGCCCGCCGGGGTCTGTGGAGGGCCCAGCCGGCATCGGGGCCCCGTGACCATCTCCCCCGAGAGTCCTGGACTTCAGACACATGGCAAGGACCCGTGTCTCCCCCAGCTAATTGTATGACATCAGGACAATGGCGGTCAGAGCATCATCCTTCCAAGGCCTTTTCTAGAGAAAGCTAGGGACCTGCCCCCACCGGGAATCAGCCTGGCCATCCTGGCGGCGCTCCCCATTCTTATGGGTGTCACCCCACACCAGTGAGAAAAGGCTCTGCAGGGTTTGCACAGGGAGAGAGGGTGAGTGCTATAGGGCACCTCGTGTCACATGGCAGGTGGCCCCAGGGCCGTGGGGCGCAGCGCCCGGGGACACACACCCCACACGTGCGCTGCTTGCTCCCCT